CGAATTTTCGAAATCTCGGTCGATGAGCTCGCTACGTTCGCGGACGACGAGAAGTTCGCTGCTCCGAACTTTCATTGTTCCATTATTCACTGATCGTGGCTGAGAGGAGAATTCATCCCACAAATATTTCGATTAATTCTCCCCGTTCCCAGCATTGCAGTGTCTGCTGGAGGAAACCGAGTTCGCTTCGATCTTCTGGGACTCCGACGGCGGTCTGCGCCACGAGGCGAGGAACAGCCAAGATCGCTGCATACCGTGGAATATCGATTCAGTTAGCGCGTCGTCTTCGGGGAATAGTCCGCAGTCCGAGACAAAAATTCCTCGGGTTCTTCGAGAAGACGACATGACCGGTCGCGGAATCCAAGCGAGGCGAACGTCACCGACCTCACAAAAACTCGACGAAGTGCTCCGCTCTGCAAAATCATCGCATTAACTGTATGGAGACACCTCGACAAATTGCTCAATCAACTTCTTGAGTTCATGCGAAGCACGTCATCAGCATGTTCGGGAATGAGAACGAGTCGCTCGAAATGACAAATATAAGACGTCGCTCCGGCTTGTCTAATCTCGAATATGGCATAGGAGCTTCTGCTCGGGTCCCGATATAGCGAGATTGAAAATAAACTCGTCCTCGACCACTGGTCCCTCTGGGAACCTGTCAGGGGAGGAAATATTCGGAAATCCATCTCGAAATCTCCGCTGAACTTCGGAATTTCGTAATCGTCGAGAACCGAATCGCAGCGGGAAAAAACCATGGGAACGACTGCTTGCTCATTCAAGTTCCTCTTCGGAGTCGGTTTCGGAGCTCATGGCTTGGGAGAGACTTCCCGGAAGTCGTCGCTGGTGTCGTTTCCGCAAGGTAGGTATGTGCACCTTGTACCAGATGACATGAACGAGAGCACACCTGCTATGCAAAGCTGCTCGGCATCGCAAAGAAATACTTGTTCGGCGCGTCCGTTCATCTCCAAGAAGAGGAAATGGGGCGAAAAACAAGGGAAAAGGGTCCGCAAGAAGTGAATTCGCAACAACCATGAGGGGTTCCCCGGAGCCACGGAATGTCCCCAATCGTCTGAGTAGGGCATGTCCGAGAAACTCCGAGGGAGCATAAAGCAACCGAGAGATCCTATCGCCGGAGATTTCTTTCCGAAAACCTTCCGCAATAACTGATACATCGGACAGGCCGATAGAGAGGCCTAATATCTAAAGAACAACGAGGATTCTCGTGCAGGGGTCGGTCTTATTTTCGGAGTGAAATTCCGCAGCTCCTGAATTTAGTCTCCTCGACCTCGAGATCGATACTCTGAGGGGAATTTCCGACCTTCACTCGAAGGAAATCGTCCGATATATTTTCAGTCACCTCGTCAGCCACGATCGGGGTCTCGCTAGCGACTTTCAAAATCAAGATGAGATCATGGCAATTTCTTTCATTCGATTCCTCGGTTCCGTACCCGCTTGTATAATAAGCCCGTTTGCGGCCACCGCCATCCATTATCGAATGAGATCCTTATATCTCTCGAATCTACAATTCGTAAACAACGCGAGCGAGCTCCATGGAGGGAGACGGAATCGTGGTAACGAATGACAGACAAAGCAGAACGAAAGACTCGGAAGATGCGAGGAGTGGAACGGAAGGGAAGAAATTCATCTTCTCGTGCAACGCAGCGCCGCAAGCTTATCGATCCCGAAGTTCTTTCTGCCGTTGTGAATGTCTGACTCGCGTTGCGTCTCTCTGCCTTTGCTGCTGCTGCTGCTGCTGTTGTTGCTGCTGCTCGTCCCGGCTCACCCTTCATTCCAACCTCCCGATTCCTGGAGAAAGCGAAGGATGACGGCAGACAGTTTTTAAACGTTGCTCCCGTCTGCCGTTATCGTCCCGGTCGGTGGGATCGACTGCATGAATGGCGGAACGATTTTCCCGCTCCTCGTTCCCTCAATCGACGACGCTTTTCCCGTGCGACGAACAAGACTGCGAGAGATGGCATCCCGCGCAACGAATATCCCCAGCAACCTCTCCCGTTTTTCCTTTCCCCCTTTTCCCCGTGTTCCTCCGATAAAGGAAGGTCCAAGACCGGAGATGAGAATCACGTAAACCTTCCCAACGGAGTTCGCTTCTCGAAATCATAAACAGAAAACAAATTGAGAGCATGCATGAGCGCTCGGACGATCTATCGTCCGCAGCCTTCAGTCACCGCAATTTCCTCAGTCAGACCCGACGGGAATGTTCCGACTGGTATGTTGTTCCCTCCTTCCTCAGCATGTTCCCCGCCCAAAGTACTCCTGCCGCGTCCCCATGTTCTCGTTTGACAGTCGTGCAGTGCGGTGTAACGCGATTATAACATCTGGTTAATCATGAACAAGCAGCGGCGGACGCTTTTAAATCAATTTGCTAATTGCCTTGCCCGCCCGCCCGCCGCGCGATTCGTCCACGTTCTTGGATGACTGGCTCCCTTGCTGCCCGAACGGCGAGTGCTTCTTGCCATCGTTCCTATTCCGTGCGTCTCTGGAGGTTTTTATTTCAGAAGAGAGCGGGCAAACAGTCAGCTTTGACGACGATGTCGACATCGACGAGGTCCATTTCAACTTCTGCGTAGGTAACTTTGAACCTCTTCTAAATCCCAAGCGATTGGTGCCGTCGTAAAAGACCGGCATGAATCCTCGATTGGAGAGAAGGGAAAAAAAGCGACCAGGGGCCTAGAGACGAAATACGTACGTACGAAAAAGCGGCCCGAGCTCCTTGCGGGGAGGCTCAGAGACAATATTTGCCGACTTCGCTCTGGGTTTCCGAGTGTCAGTGCGGGTCCATGTGATGTGTGCCGGCGGCGGACCGGCAGGCGAACGGACGGTCGGCCCGTCCGTCCATCGTCGACGACTGGCGAGCTGAGCAAACGCTAGCCCGTGGCCTATAGGAAAATCTCGGGGAGTCAAATCCCGCCGCTGCTGCGGCACGTTGTCCTGATTGAAGTCCTCCTATGCGAGGGGTTTATCTCCGCACGCTGATTAAACGAGACGAGATCCGACAGATCCTCAAAGGCTTTGGACAGCGAGTGATCGTTCTTGCCGGTTTCCTTGCCTGCTAGCTGGTACATGGTGCCATCGTCCGGGTATTCCCTGCCAAGTCGCTGCTCCGACGAGGCGGCTCCCTTGAGCTTCTCGGTCTATATTGCTGTCTAGAACGTAGCGGGGAGAATATAGCTATCGTGGAAACATCAGTGCGAAATTAATGGATGGCCGACATCGCTTAAGCGGTGCTGGATCTTCACCGGAGATTCGCGGGGTCCTGATACATGCCGGACCTGCGAAGGCCGATGCTCGAATTCGAGATGATTCGAGGGCGATCTTCTTCTCCAATACCATCCCTGCTCGCCGAGAGATCTTTCTATCCAGTCCATGATTCTGAAATCATTCTCCTTACTCGTCTTTCTTCTCTCCAACGCGAATATTCCTTGTTGCTCGGGGTTCGAGGGGATCTTTTCTGCTACCCGAGGAGGAGAGGTGGGGTGCGAATGGGGAATGGAAGAGGTTTCTCGTCGATCTCCCGAGGGCGATGCAAACCCCTCGGTCTGCCCCGCTGGTCGCTTTTCTCGTCCTCTGGCTCTCCATACCTACTAGAAATTGATGCTCGTAGCTCCCGGAGTGTATCATCCCGGAGATTTTCGTTTCTTACAGAAACGAGGATTACCCCGCAACCATTAGGAGCGTCGCGTCGCATCCCTGCTCCCCCTCCAGCCGAGCCGCGATCGTTATGGAGCGAGAGCAGAATTGCACGACGATGAATACGCGCCTTTTGAAGGCTACAGAATGCTTTCGCAATCTTGTTCCGTGGCTCCTTCAAGGTCTAATACTTGTGCATGTACGCCTGACAGCCCTCCACTCCGCCCGCGTGCTCGCCTGTCGGGCTGCTCCAAGGTCTGCGTCGGGATCGTTTGTACGGGGTAGCGGTTCGTTCGAGTTAGTTTCTTCGTTCGTTCGTTCGTTCGTTTGTTGTTTCTTTGGCTGGTCGTTCTTCGCCTGCATGCGTGCACGCGATTCTTACCCCTATTACCGCTCAGGCAGCAGCAGCCTGCCCGCTCAGGTCGCTTGCATGCGTGCTTCTGGCTTCATCTATCTTTTTTTTCCGCTCATACTCGACTTGCGTTTGAAGCTATCGCGAAGAACAAGCCAAGACGGGGTCTGGAGATTAATTTCAATTCAACAGAGACGCCTCCGTCCTCCGCCGAAAAAAGCAAACAGTCCATCAAGCGTCACTCGCTCACTCTGTCAGTCAATCAGTCACCGGCAGCAGGACTCTCTCGGTCAGGACGCTACGCCCTTGAAAGAAACACTTGGAGTCTCCCTGCCGGGCGGCTATGCGGCACCGCGCCGGCGACCGGCCGTCGGAGCGACGCCGCTCGCCACCATCATCGTTCCATCCGTATGATAGGCAGACAATGCTGCCGACGGCCAGCGTGACGAATTAATGGATTCTAATACGCTTCGTCATGCTCAGATAACAATAACAATCGTCCTCGTCAACCCAATCCTTATTTCCATACGACAGCGCGGCTGCATATCAAATCTTGCAGACGGTCGACTCGATGCAGTCGTTGCCTCGATTCGGGAAATCTCCATAGACAATACATGGCTCGATCCAAGAGGAAAAATCTGATGATACGTGGATCAACGAATCCGCCATCTTTATTTCACTCATGAACAAACTCGATGTACAACCATTCAGAACAACAGACGTCGGCCATAAACGGGGACGTCTGAAGGGGAACCGGTCGAACAAACACACGTATTTACGAACGTGTGAGCCCGGTGCACGGGAGCTTCCTTTATACAGGGAGGAGGATGGGCGCCAATGGGCGAAAAACCCGATGGTCGCATCCAGTTCGCGAAATCCGTGCTCCGGTGAAAATGCGGAGTCGTTGCGCTAACTCGCGACAAGCTTGCAATTCCGAGTGCACAATTGTACGTACATCCAGTGCGGAACGTGAATTTCCGTGCGTAGAGACTCGAACCCCGGTCGGTTTCGCGCGATTCAGTCGTCATCAATGTACAATGTGCATTTTCCGTGTCCGGACACCACGGACTTCAAGATGGGCTCTACTTCCCTCTCCCGTAGGAACTTCCGACGTGATGCCGTGCACCCCACCGATAATTACCGTCGTAGTCTGTTCGTACGTAGGTGTGAACCGGACCAACGACTCCACCGCCATTGCTGGATCTCCTCATTCGGTTAACGATGGGATCCAGGGACCGCCTCATCCGTCTGTGAGGTGCGACCCTAACCTCGACTTTATTCGAAGCGTCGCCTTCTAGGCTGTCATCTGGAAAGGTTCAAGAAGATGATTAGGATAATAATTCACCTGGAACGACTATACGGAACGTCCGGGGAGCTTTTCGGGTCCAATCAAGCCCACCCCGACTCTGACGGGGGTCCGGTCGGAACTTCTAGCGCATGAGCGCATCGTGAGCATTCGAAATGAAACTTGAAATTCGGAGCAGCTCACCGTCGCGTTCGATTGTGGAAACGTATTCCGGCTGAGGTCTGCTCTCATCCCCTCCGAAATCGTCGTCTCCGTCCGCGGGGGAGTCGTCTCCGTCATCTCCGCCGTCGTCGGCAGGCGCGTCGTATCCGTCGTCTCCGCCGTCGTCGGCTCCGTACGCGCCGTCGCCTACGCTCGAACAAATGAAAGAGTTGTATGAGTTTGTCTGTCATCCGAATGTCTCATGCATAATCCTGATACGCTGATCATCATCATCATATGCATCAAGATGAGCAACAGCGCCCGGGCGGGAATATTTACCGTCGTCGTCGTCCTGAGCTTGAACTACGCTCACGAGCAAAAAGACGACAAGCAGGAGCGATCCGGTTGTGAGAACTCTCATATTCTTTTGGTTCCGAACACTGTTCTTCAACGTTCGAATGTTTGCGTTGTTCGTTGGCTTAAATATTGCCCCGGGAACCGATCGCGTGGAACCGTGCGAGAGGAAAGAGGAGAGAATTGGGTGTTCTGTCTGTTGTCAAACTTCTTCAGACGTCCGGACGGACGACGGAGGAACAGACGGACGCTGGTATGGACGCACAGACGGACGGCGACGAGACAATGACCGAGTCGGGAGAAACAGCGCCGCGAAAAAATCAGTCTGCATCTCTCGCGCAAACTGCCTTACGAGCTCCCTAAAAAAGAGTTCGCTCCGTAAAAAGAGCTGGGGCAAGTTATCGGCTAGCGGTTTTTACTTTTCTGATTCCCTTCGTCTAACAGACGGAACTGCTCGGGAATTTTGTAATGCCATTGTTGCTCTGGTTTTATGGACTAGCTTCGGTGAAGTTCGTCGCGGACTTCTACCGGAATCGTCGGAATGAACCGCCTCTCGGACCAGCGCAGTGGGACGGACGGCACACTCATCCGAACCGGGACGGGGGTTATGGGCAGGGACTGCCTGGGACCGAAAATATGAATATTCCTGTCCGACCTGTACAGAAGTTCAGCCTCGGTCTATTCGATTTTGAATTTTGAATGACCGTGCGCTGAGCAAGACATATGAACAAAATATATCCCTCGATTGGAAAACGAGAAAAACGAAAATGAACATATTTCGAAATGCCCAGACAATCAGCGGTCCCGCGAACGGATTGCATCGAACGGGAGGAGAACCAGGTTTCTGTCGAAGAATTTCCACGATCTGCTTAAAGGAAGGCCGACGTGTTCGCTTTCGACATCACCCACCAACCTCCGTTGCCGACGCCCGGCGAATCTCATATGACGTTCCGTGACGGAGTCAGCTGACTTTCCAGGCGGTCGGAATCGAAGTCAAGCGAAGTGCGATCCGGGCCCAGAAGCAAAAGTAGGAGGGAAGCTGAAAAAGAAGCTGTATAGCACCAGCAGCAAGCGTGGCGAAAGGAGCAGCGGCGCTCTATATGCAAACTGGCGCACACTGAGCCGGGAAAACTTTTTCGGTCTCAGCTTCTTTGTTCAGTGGGCAGGCAGGGAGGCGAGCGAGCCGTTTTCCATAAGTTTTGCATATCCCCGCAACTATCGGCTCGGTATCAAATTAAAATTATCCAACTCATTTCGTTTAACAAGCAGCTGCTCCGATCCCCGCCATCATCATCATCATCATTAATACATACATCGACGGCAGCAGACACTTCCTCGACGAATATTCCATTGGAGGGAGTCTCTACCGGCTCGGTTCTGTTAGACTCGCTCATCGACAGCGTCGTCACCGATGCCCGAGCCAGCAACAAGTGCCTGACCGTTAAGATGAGCCTGTCCCGTGGAAACGGCTCATCTGTCCTTCAACTCACCTGAATCTTCCGCATCCCCGGAGGCACAGGAATCCTCCGAAATGATAAATTCTTTGATCGTTTCCGCTGCGGTTTGACCCGAGGTGAACGCAGCAATTCATGAGCGAAAGAAGGAACAGATGCGAGCGAGTCTCTATCGAGGACGACGCTGTTGATATCGACCATGGTCAATTTCTGATGGCTTGGCCGAGGCTTACTCCGGGAACGAGGACCCAGATGGTCGAGGGACGCAGCCTGTCTCGGGGCAATTATGTCCGAATTTCGCCCGACGTCCCTCTTCGTCCTATTCTTCCGTTCGTCTTCTCGCCCGGCTGGTATCCCCTTCATCCTCCAACATTCATCCGACACATATACACAGACACCGACCACTCACGCACCACAGAGCTTTTCTCTCTCTCTCCCTCGGTTCTCTTGCTCGGGTATCCCTCATGCTCGAGGGAGCGGTCCATACGAAGATCCCGCGGCGGGCCGCCGCCGGACGGGTTCCCGAAGCGGTTCACTTGACCAATCAATTAGGTTCGGACGAATCCGCTTTTGGATTCAAACGCTTCCTCAGAAAGTCCCGCTCATTCGTCCCTCGCTTCGTCCGTCTCTACGCGCCGCCTTCGGACACCTATCAGCCCCGTACAGACACGCGGCGGAATTCGAGCCGATACTAATTCTGCGATTCAGGCTCGTGTCGAGTAGAAACGCTGAAGCTGGCAGCTCCCAGCGCGAAGCCCTTTCGGAAACTCTGTCCGACGGTATATTCACAGAGAATTTTTCGGATTCGGAGAACTTTTTTTCTGTTCCAGTCGTAAGTTGATCCATACCATGAGATGATGCAATCATTTTTAGTTCAACTTTCCGGCCGCCGCCAATCACGAACTCGTGACACAAGCGACAGCCTCCACCGCGTCAGCGGGTCGTTCGACCGACATTGAGCGGTGCAATGGAGAATTCCGAATTATAAGAGTTTTTCTCTGCAATCGTCAGACATCCGATTTCATTTTCGGACGCTTGTCTCCGAAAACGGACAAGGAGCAGTGGAGCCGGCGAGCAAGCGAGCGGAGCCCTGTTTTGAGCAGTTGTCAAACTTCTTTTGTTGCTGATACCGCCGCGGCAAAGCCGGGATCCCATCCGCGAAGGAGAATGAGCTCAATCCATATCTTCCGGTCTCAGCAGCCGTCTACCTATCTTGAACTCCGCATTGGTGTTTCTCCTTTCTGGTATGGTCTCGCTCGAAGTCTGGTCAGTCAGTTGGGATAGTGTTTTCCGCTCTGTGACTCCACATTGTATCGACCCCGTGAGCTTCGGACAGTCAAATTTCGCCGGTCGGACGGGAGACAGCTCTCCCGGTAGCGCCTCCGGAGGCTTTTTGGAAGAGTTTCCGCAAGGTTTCCGTGAGGGACTACGTCGGGATTCCCATACGAGGGCTCCCGTGAGAGACTCGGTGAGATTTTTCGAGAAGTTCCCCATCAGGGACACCGTGGGCTTTCCGCGAGAGTTTCCAAGAGGGCTGCCTTGGGAAAAGATCCGATCGGATCTGAAATCGTGACCCCGGAGTCTTCTCTCGATCAACCGGATGCCTCCGCTCCCTGGTCGCTCAGGTTCGTAAGCGATCCAAGCAGTAGTGATCAGGTTTTTAGACCGTGGATCAAACAGAATGGGAGGCGTGTAGCCGAAGCTTTCCACTCTGCTCCACACTCCTGAATGACCCAACGGGCTGGAGCTCGTGATTCCACAGCTCATGCCGTGGTCTCCGGCTCCTTCCCGACGATCGTTCCCTTCTCCTTGCGAAGGAACCGTCAGGATTGATTGCACACTCTACAGAATCTTATGAGGGGGCGCGGGGGAGTATTCAGAAGAGCTCACGAGCGCGTTGAACTTTGATCGCTATCATCACAAGACGAACGAACTCGGAGGGCAGCTCCGGTGATTAATGAGGCTCAACGCGGGCGAATGAATAATTTTTAATGGGGTGTGTGCACCGAAATCAACAACTTTACCGCGGAGAGCCGCGGATCTTCATTTAATTTCATCTAAATCATCGCCACCAGGTCAGACGCAAGGCAGGGGAACGTCCCAAGCGAACGAAAAAATTATATAGATACGAATAATCGGCAGGCGACGTTTACGACGACAAGGAGGGAAGGAAATCAGAATAAGGAATCGAAGCCGTGGGCGAGAGAACCATGGAATCTAACTTAGCGAGGAGATTCGGACCCGAGACGAGGAGATTGGGAACGACCGGGAAGCGCACGGCCTGAGCTGTAGCTGGTGAGGACGGTGCTGTTCTTTCTCAATTTGGAAACGAAATTAGATGGATTTATTAAACGAGCTTTTCAGCTTGCTCGATCCTCGGAGACAGAACAAAAGATAGCACCATTGGCAGCTCCACCGCACCGAGCGTTCTGGGTGGACGTTCGAGCGTGTGCCCTCTGCTCGTCCCTTATCCTGTCGTTTCTTCGATCGGCCCATGCCCACGAGAGCCGATATTCGTTCTCGTCTCCTATTCTTGGCGGGTGTGAATCAAGAGCCTATGGCCTGAGCAGGTGTCACCCAAGTTAGCCTATGACGCTCTGTCGGGCAGCTTCTAGGTGAGATGAACTCATTGCATACTCAGAGAAGGACCCGGGTGGAGCTCCCGGAAAAATTTGAACGATTCATCCACGACCAATTCGAGTCTCCAATCGGATTCGCGATTGCTTCACGGACCGCGATTCTTCCAGAAGAACAGATGGTCCCAGCTGGCGTAGCAGAATCGAGGATCGGCAGATGCGTCGGAGGTATTGACATTGGGATAAAACGTCAGCAGTTGTAGCGGCGAAAACACCAGCAACAACAACGATTGCATCCACAACAACAAACCTTGGAAGACAACAATGGCCTCTACAACCACGGACAGAAGCAACAAGGCTAGCAATAACAGCGATGCGTAGCGACAGGAATCGTCCCGGATCCCCAAGGCTAACAACAGCGGAGGAAGTGGGAGAGGCGACATAAGAGAAACATCATCTCTGTACACAGCAATCGACACAAGCAATACGAGCGGAGCTCGTATCATCGAGCGTATAACTCCGCGGATGAAGGCTTCTCATGAGAGAAAACGGCAGCAGGCTCTGAGGTGACGCTGTGAGGCGGCTCCGGAGTCATCAGGAAACAATTTCGACTTCTCATGAAAGCTCTGGTGCTCCTCGATGCTCCATGATCGCGATTGAGATGCTCTCCGAATATCCTTGAAGGAATGGGATTTTTTTCCGTCCTGAACATCTCGGAGAAATGATCTGCACCCCGGGAATGGAGGTGAGAGAAATGGGTCGAAGTCTTCTGCGCCTCCTTCCGACATTCGGATCCTTCGAACGTGTACGAATCTCGCTTGCCTTGGGAGTACGCGTACCGAACGCGTGCAATTGAAAGACTCGAGGGCCTCGATCAAAAGTCATAGATGAAAGTTCCGATGAAATATCGCGACATAAATAGAGGTTTCGATGAGATATCACGATTGACTCTTTTTTTTTTTCATTATTTTACTCTATTTATTCATTTTTTCATTTATTGACACCAGTGAGATGCTGGTGGAATATGCCTGGAGGCATGGGATTTTTTCGTCCTGAACATTTCGGA